AAGCGTTTCAAAGGTACTGAAAGCCTAAGTAAAGTGACTGATCAAGTGAAAAATGTGAAGCTCAATGAAGAAAAACCCAAGGAAACCAAGTCTGAAGAGATTCAAGATGAGGGTCCACCAAAATACACAAAATCTATTCTGAAAAAGGGAGATAAAACCAACTTTCCCAAAAAGGGAGACGTTGTACACTGCTGGTACACAGGGACGCTGCAGGATGGGACAGTTTTTGATACTAATATTCAAACAAGTTCGAAGAAGAAGAAAAATGCCAAGCCTTTAAGTTTTAAGGTTGGAGTCGGCAAAGTTATCAGAGGATGGGATGAAGCACTCTTGACTATGAGTAAAGGGGGAAAAGCTCGACTGGAGATTGAACCAGAATGGGCTTATGGAAAGAAAGGACAGCCTGATGCCAAAATTCCGCCAAATGCAAAACTCATTTTTGAAGTAGAATTAGTGGATATTGATTGAATCAGCAGGACTTAAGATCTGAAGACATCAGCGTGATTAAAACTTGGCCTTGAAATTTAAGTAACTAGAACTTGTTATTATTGTAAAGAATCAACTGGAAATTTCAAAGAGTTAAGTAAAACTTACTTGATCACATTTTTTGAGAAATGTAATCCCTTATAAATCCCTGAGTCTAAAGTATTTTACTATAGCTACGTGAAATACTGATTAAGGAAAACTGTATTTCCTTTTACCTCATGTTGTGAAACTGAAAAGTTCAATTAAAATATATCCACTGTCTTGATTCGAGAAAAAAAAAAAAGACATGGTATGTATTTATACTATTATTTTATAGATGAAGTAAGGCAGTTTTCTGATTGTACACGAGTTTGGTTTCAAGTTGGATTTAGGTCCTATTCCTGTCTTCTCTACCTCTGCATTTTGATCCTTCACACAAAATACATACTTCTCTAAAGCATTCTATTTATTTTTTTTTAATTTTATTGAGAAACAAATAGCAATGAGACAGTTTCAAAACAGGTTAGTAGGACAGTTACAATAATTAATAAATTGCATATTGTTGTCTTCATAGTAGTTATTCACAGTACAAGATGCAGACATGATATGTTGTCCAAATACTATTAGTACAAATTAAAGCATATTATTTAAAAGGACTTCTTAGATGCTATGGGTTGCAAAGATTCCAGTGGTTCTATCACTATACATTACTTCTTTCAATCTATTTCTTTATATCAAGGCCGGTGAGATACATGAGGTCTAAAGCACTTGCTTAGGCAAAGAGTAGGAACCACAGTTCAGTCCCTGGTACCATATGCTTCACCAGCCCCTCCTGGGTTAAGCCAGCCACACACACACACACACACACACACACACACACACACACACACACGTCTATTTACTTATATGTACTAACAGAACCTACAAGAGATACTTGTAAATCCTCAGTGCCTAGCCCTTATCTTGCATTTGCTTGGCAAATACTTACTAAATGAAGGAATGGGAACAACGTTAGCTGCTGAGATGCACATTTTTGGTACTAGCTAAATGGCTACGTTTTAAAAAGAAATCTTATAAAAGGAAAGCAAGCCTGGGGTCTGGATTTACGATTAACATTTTCAACTGGTCTGATGAAAAAGGGAACTTGCTAATCATATCTCATGATAACTCTGGATGAGAGCAGAATTCACAATATAATGAAGAATACAACCAAGATTCAAATAATTAGGTATTTTATCATATGAGATACAATGAAGAATGTATAGTATGCAAGTATATTTTACTTTTCAAAAAGTACTATATAAGAAACAAATTCGTCATCAGTTATTATAAGTGGAAGAACATCCAAATTTTACATATTCAATTGCAACATGAGACAATTTTATAACAAATACAGGTGTTGACACCTGACATTTCACAACACTAAGAGAGCAATAATAAACTAGAAGGAGCCTAGAAAGATTACCGGTACGAGGAGGTAAGGTAAGGCATGGAAAAGGTAACAGAGGGAGGCACTGCTTAAACTATGCAAGATCAAGGTAGAACACAATTTTGGCAATAGTCTCTCTGCAGTTCCTTTTCCCCTTACTCTACCACCTCATCTATAAGGAAGTTCTGTGAGTTTAGTGAGTTGACAGTCTTAATACCTTTTTTCTACTTCAAAGACAAATCTCTATCCAAGTTGATCTGTACTATTTGTATTTGTTCTTTGTATATCTAGACTCCTCCCTTGGAATCCATTTCTTACAAAGTAACCAGATCCATTTTCTTAGGTTGAAATCGGAACTTATGCCTCTCCTGCTTAAAATCCTCTTAATGATGATTTATAATGTTTAAAATAAATATATACACTTTCTACATTCTAAAACTCCATATACAATCCCGAATACTGCTCACTTTGTTGAGCCTATCAGTACCACTCTTTTTCTCTTATGTTGCTATAGTCACTGACCTTTTCATCCCATTGCCATTTTGAAACTATTCCTAACTCAGCCTTCATTTGCTCTCTAGATCTTAAATGTTTTATCCCTAGACCCTGCATGGTTGACTTTATCTCACTATTCAGGGCTAAGCAAAAAACCCTCTTAAGATACTTTCCCTCACCATGTTATGCAACATAGTACTTTTACTTCCTCCCACCCAAGTAGTATTCTATTGAAACTTACTCCATACCCCAGGCTTGGGGTGGGGGGTCTCTTTTTGTCTTGCTCCACTAGAATTTAAGTCCCTTGAGCACAGGGATTTCACGTTATACAATGTTGCATCCTTCAGTGTCTACAGTGGTGTCTGGCATACAGTGAATTCTCAAACAATTGTTGAATGAGATTTACTTGACAGTAATCCCAATATACTGAAGAAATTGGGATCAAACAACAGGCAAATTTTAGGTCAGTTATGTATAGAACTTCTAAGAATTATGGTGAAATAAAGAAAATATTCAAGAAGTAGCTAATTGACTACAAATTATGGGTATTACCAACAGGATTACTGTGTTAAGTAGGAGTTTTTACTAAATGCCTCGTAACATCTTAATTATAAAATCCTGATCAATATATCCAAAATATAATAAATCATTTTCAACATATATAGCTGTCAGTTAAACGGCTTTTATACTATACCATTACCTTTAGTGGATCTGAATTAGCATTTACTTTATGTTTACTTTGAACTTACTAAACATCTTCAGTGACTTTAGGTCCATCTTCCTTTTTTTTTTTTTTTTTTTTTTTTTTTTTTGCGCTACCAGGGATTGAACTCAGGGCCTTGTACTTGCCAGGCAAGCACCTAGGTCATCTTTTTTCTCAAAATAACCTAGAACTTGTTATTTTGAGATATAATAGAATAAATAGCCACATGCACCTCACTGTGAATTGTATTTATAGATACAGCACTGTAACTAAGACTCAGTGTTTTAAGGGATTTGTACATTGTTTACTATGATTTGATTTTTGTTCCTTTTTATCACCCTGTACCTATTCCTTATGCCTAGGAGTAGATGAAACAGGGCAAAAGATTAAGATAGTTCATAGCCATGTTACCATACCCACACAGTTTTTGTTTGAATAAAACTTTAGATTTATTTCTGAAATTGTTAATAAACCAGTATTACTTTTAAAAGACAGTACTTTGAAAATACATGTTGATCCTGCTTTACCTTGGTCTTAACCATCCAGAAGAAAAGTATAAAAACAAAATATAAGAAGTAAAGTCATGCTGTTATGTTGAACTGTGGGGGACTCAGGTCAACAATTTCTGACATTGCCAGTTAAGCGGAAGACCCAATAGTATTATGGGATACTGGACTCTTTTAGAATATTTTGGTGAATTTACACACCTATAATATTCAAATAACGAAACTTAACAAAAAAAGGGTATACAGATGAATGTCCATTTTGTATCTGTGTATTCAAAGTGGTTGGGATAGATATATAGTTACATTCTGTTAATGAATAGAATGATTTGTTCTAATGGTGTTTGTAAATAGGCTATCAAGTCCGAATCTTGTACAGCAATTAACAACTAAGAAGAATGTATGCAGTGTGTTAAATATTGAAACTGTCCTACCGATTTGATTTGAAACTGTCTCATTGCTATTTGTTTATCAATAAAACTATGGCAAAAAAAAAAAAAAAAAAAAAAAAAAAAAAAAAAAAAAGAAAAAAGAAAATACATGTTGACCAAATTAATATATCTACAGGAGAAATATCTAATCTTAGTAAAAACTATATAAAGATTAAAACAAATTTATCAAGTCATATAATACTGCATGCTCCAACCTGAGTTTGTGAGATCAAGTTTTCAAAAGACAGCAGTCAACTAACTGGAAAATACTGTATAACTTCTTGTCCATTTGAAAAATATACCAACAAATACAGAATTTAAAAAATTACAAAAAATAAAATTCAAAATTAAAGAACCTGTTTGACTTTATTTAATCTATTATTTCCCGCATTTCTTTGACCAGAATTATCTACCTATTGAGGGCATAGTAGTATAAAACACAAAGGAAATATTGCTATAGAACAGTATAATTTGAAAATTTTACCTTTAAGTAGACTTATAGAAACTGTAACAAGTAAGTTTCTTTATATGTATTCATAAGCAAATCACTAGGTAAGAATTTATATAACTATATTAACATTTTGAAAAAATGAGAAGCACAAGAATGTGAATCTAATGGTTTAAAATCATTCATGACTCTGTTGTTTTCTGTTCCATAGTAGGCTATTTAGAAGGGAAAAGGTTTTTTTTTGTTTTGCTTTGTTTTTTTGAGACAGAGTCTCACTATGAAGCCCAGAATAGCCTCACACTTGAAGTGATCCTCCTGCCTCAGTCTCCCAAGTACTGGGATTATAGGCATACACCACTACGCCTAGCAGGGAAAAGTATTTTTAACACATGGATTTTCATATTATGTTTTGCTAGTAGTCTGGATCATTTTGTTTTAATGCCAACATAATTCTATGGAGGAAAAAGTATTTAGTATTTGACACTTCTCAAGAAAGAGAGTGACTATAGTTTTAGAAAGCACTTACTTAATCATTTCAAAAAGCTTTGGATCTGAGACCTTGATATTTCGTGCCATATTCCAGGAAAGATGAACCATGGGTACTATTGACTTCACACTTTGCAATTTGTTCCATTCGTACCGTTCCACTGCCAATTTATACTGGCAGGCTAGGGAAAAAAAAACAGTTATAATACAACCCAAAGTATCAAAAGATATTATCACCCTTTCAGGTGATATCTTCAATATCAATTCTGAAAACTTCAAAACACTACAAAAATAATTTTTTACTTTATGATAATTAGGGTAGTAATAATAATAATAGAAATCATAGAGTACTTTCTATGACTATGTGCTAGGCATTGTGCTGAGCTCATTTTTTATCCATTATCTCATTTAATCAATACAGTTACCTTATTAATTTTATTATTTCCATTATACAGATGAAGAAATGATAAGACTAGAGAAATGAAATAACTTGCCCAAAGATACCAGAACCAGGTCCTGGTTGGAATCCAAGTGTGTCTGGCTTGAAAGGTCATGTTTTAACCTTAAGTCAATATTGCCTGAAGGCAAGCATAATTCAAACAGATTTTTATTTAATAGGGCTCTTCACATGAAACACATGATAAAAGAAAAATATGAAAGAACACACTTCTACATCTATAAAGGGTTTTCTGTACAAAACAAAATCAGAAACTCTAAAACTTATAAAGATATGTTCCCATGTGTATAAATATATAAATGTGCATCTGCTGAGATCTGTCATCTTAAATTTGAAATTGTTACTTTTCTCATTTTATGCAAGGAGACACTTACTTTTCTATATATGTATATTTGTATTTCAGGGAAGGGTCTACAGGATGTTCAGGGTCTCACTACTAGATTGGACTTTAGTGATCTGCCTGTTTACAGCCTCCCAAGAGCTGGGATTACAGGCATGTGCCACCATGCCCAGTCTCAATTGCTGTCTCAGTGCCCCTACCCCGGGGGGCAGGGCGGGCATGGCAGGCCTGGGGATCAAACCCCTGGTCCCTGCGCCTGCTTGCAGGCGCTTTAATCCACTGAGCTATTTGGCTGGCCCACTTTTCAATAGCTAGTGAACCCTATTTCAAGGGAATAAAGAATATACCTATCAGACATAAGCTTTTATAAAATAAACTTTTAAAAAAATATATTCTTTAAAATACCTGTAAGTGGACCAACATTCCAAGCAATATTGTTGCACCAGCCAATAGCCTGAACCCAATGCACAGTGCCTGCATTTATCCACACCAAATCTCCAGGTCGCTGAATAAACCTATATACTGGAACATTTGCTTCATAAAGATCTTCAAGATTGGGCCACCAAGAGCCCATTAGGAAATTCAAATTATTTCTGAAATAAGAAAAAATAGTGCAAATGCACAGAATACTTTAATAAGTGCCTTATAAAACCAGAAAAAACTGTCTAAAGTTTTCAAATAATACTCATTCATTTTAATAAGTATTTAATAAAAATGGCTATATTACATAGTGTGAAATTAATTAGCTGAGTATTGGTTTACAAGCTAAAGATTAGCATTACTAACTCAAACTAATTATTTTCAAAGATCCAAATGAAATCCAAAGCTATTCAGAAGTAACATTCACATACTTTAACTTATAATTTTATTTCAATAAAAACTATTTTTGATTGAACTCTAAACTCTTTAGAGTACCTAGAAATTCCTACAAGGTAAAATGAAAAATAAGATGACACAAATTATTTAAGTTCATAAACAGGAAAGATATGGCAATTTAAGTACTAGAAACATGCTTCAGGATCTGAGCAAGAGGAAGACAAATAGTCTTTGTCACTGCTCTGCTGAATTATAAGGAAAAAAGGCAAGATAAGATATTAGCATCTATAAGGTTTGGACGATCAGCTAAACAATACAGTTTAAAACAATTTTATCAAAAACAACCACACACATGGAGAAATACCCAGGACTGCTACCACTACTACCATTATCATGAATAACCTACTTTGCAAATATTCTACAGATCCTATTATGTATTATCTACTTTAATATCTGGCTTCTTATTCTCCATCCTTTTATAAACTATATAGCAACTTTTTCCATACAAGAATTTTATAAATTTTGGGGCCGGGGAGATGACTCAGTAGACTAAGCACTTGCCTGGCAAGTGCAAGGGCCTGAGTTCAATCCCCAGTTCCACCAAAAAAAAAAAAAAAAAAAAAAAGAATTTTGCAAATTTTAAAATATAAGTCTGACTACTTCAGACTTTATAATTTTGGGGAAGAACATGTACAGTACAGTCAAGTGCTTTTTTACTTTTTTTGTTTGTTTGTTTGTTTTGGCAGAACCAGGGATTGAACTCAGATCCTTGCGTTTGACAGTCAAGTGCTTATCCTACTGAGCCATCTCCCCGGCCCCTCATGTACAGTACAAATGTTCCTTTCCTTAAACTCTAAGAAATAATTTTGTGTCTTATGCTTAAGTATATGAAAAAGTATACTTAGAAATAGTTTTCTTTGGCTTAAATTTATATCTCAACAAAGTGTTAGCCAACTATGGTCCATAACTGCAGTGCTTATTTTTGTAAATAAAACTTAGAATACAGCACCCATTCTTTTACATATACCTTTGCTTTGTGCCTTACAGTGAAACAGTTATGACAAAGGACCACAGGACCTATAAAGCTTCAACTATGTATTATCTTCTCCAAATTTCCAAGGATTGTCTGAAAAGTCTAGAGTAGACTTCCAGTGGCAGCTTAATTTCAAGGAGATTAGCATTAGCTTACTGCTTATGATAATAAACCAAAAAGTGGTTACAAACATAAATTCTAACTCTATTTCACCCACATGTTACCATCACAAAATTGAAGAAAATATTCTATCCAAAAGCAAAACAAGTGCTGGGCATAGTGGCACATGCCCATAATGCCATAATTCAGAAGGCTGCATGCAGCAGGAAGTTGTGAGTGCAAGGCTAGTTAGCATAGTCTACATGGCAAGGCCAGGCCAGGCTGGACAACAGAGAAGAGATCTGTTCTCACAACAAAACCAAATGAAACAAAACAACCCAACACAACACACTTAAGCAAATAATTCCAAATAATAAACTATAACAAAACCACAGATTTTCCAAAAAACCATTTTTTATTCATACATTCTAAACAAGATCATTTCAAGCTGTATTATTTAATACCATAAACTTCATGTAGTATCAGAAGTAACAACCTTTAAGGAGGAAAAAAATATAGTAAAATGCTAAGGAAGCAAGTGCTCCCTCTCCAACTCAGTAAATTCATCTAACTCTTCACACTAATTTGACAATTCCATTACCCTCAAACTTTTTTATATCATCTGCCTATTCTAATTACTTTTGTTACCAAGACACCTCACCATTTAGACAAGAAACAAAACTATACCCTGTAAGTAGCCAATTTCTACTCAGAAATAATGAACAGAGATCACTGTAGTGTAGCTGTAAAAATATAACCTATTACCTCAAAATTTAAGAAATAAAAATGTTTCTCTAACACAGTGAAGATTCCCCACATGAGACTTTTTTCTCTGCTGCTACTGGACTGCTGATCCATAAAGTACAAACTAAAATAGACTGGGTTAGCTCATCAGTACATGTGAAATTTTAAAATTCTCTTATCTATGGCTTTCTTACACTGAAGAAAATCTATGTGGAAAATTGTAAAGAAAACATTAGACAATTATCTCTTGCCTGTATTTTTAACTATGATAAATAACTAAAAGCAAATATTTACAGGAAAGATGTTTAAGCTAAAGTAAGATATTATGAATAATTAATGTAATCATTTATGTACATGTCTTTTGTGCCTCTCACCTTATGTAGCTGGGATATAAATATATCAGCTGTGTGTATAATCTGTTTTATCCCATGATAATTTCCTATGTTATTACTAAATTTAAATATCAGGTGATTACATAAGAGGATATTATTTAGAAAAAATAAATTAGGTTCTGTCTAAATAACTAAATTTAAACAGATCAAAATTTTCAAAGTATTCCTTAACAGCTGTATCTTGTACCATGAATAACTACTACAAAGACAACAATATGCAATGTATTAATTATTGTAACTGTCTTGCCTATTTTGAAAGTGTCTCACTGCTACTTCTTTCTCAATAAAATTAATAAAATACACAAATAAAAATGATGGCTACTTTTAGTATCTTAAGAAACTGTCAGTTCCATTCTACATATTCTTTCATTAGATAAAACAAAATCTGAAGTAGTTAAATTTTGTAAAATTCCTTTATAGAAAAAGTTGCTGATCTTAAAAAGAATTTACACCATGATGATAGGGCAAAGATTATGGTCAAGCTTATGGGTACTCAGCTACAGAACTTCTACCTTCTACAAGCATTTACAATAACATCAATTTTCTTGGAACACATCTTTCAAATGTATAAGTATGCGTCACTTTAAGAATAAACTACTAACTCAATCTTTTCATCTTCTAAATTTGTAACTACTACTATTTTATGAAGTAGTTTCGTGGCATCCTATAGTATTTTCAATAACACGTCATAAGCTGGGAGTTAAACCACTTAAAACGAATTTTAAGTGAAAACTATATACCCATTAGGTTACCCAGTTTGTTAAGTTGTCCTTCTCTGTTTTCTGATAATATTATTTAAAGAAAATTTAGTTTGCAAACTTACTTTTCACAGAAGTCATTCAAAACACCCCAGTAACCTTCAGGAACAACAAACCATTCACAGTCACCTGGGCCAATATTTATGTTAACTGAACAGAAGTTGTTATTTTCTTGATGACCTAGCATGTGAAAAACAAAGAAATTAACTGTCACACTATAAATTACATAGAAAAAAATATGTCTTTAGAAATGACAGCTGACAAATCTTCAACAGAGAACATTCTAGTGATATTCAGTTCTTATTATATAGTAGTTTTGTGTCAAGTCAGGTTTTAGAGCTGAATTTTAGTTAACTTCTAACTCATTCAATAAAGGCTTTCATGGAAGGCACTAAAAGTCATACTTAACAGTGTACACACTGTTGGGGAACCTACAGTATGTGTGTCCAAGCAGGACTGTTTGTACCACTGAAAGCTCTAAAAGTTTGATATTGGTTCAGGCTCCAAAGCAAGATTCCTTGGCTAAGTCATAACATGAGCTCGGACAAGTTCTCACAACTTTCTGACTCAGTTTCCTCCTATGTAAGACTACATAATAACAACTCCATGAAATCACTGGGTTGCTGTGAATGTCAATAAAGTAATAAATGTTAGTATAGTGCCTAATTATGATAAATAATAAATATTAGCAATCATAAACACCATTACTACTTTTCTCTTATGAAATACTCCCCATTTATCACAAAGAGTATTAGGACATCAGAAAAGAAGAAACCAGCTGTGCGTGGTGGGGCACACCTGTAATCCCAGCACCCAGCAAGCTGAGGCAGGAGGATCTCTGTGAGTTCAAGACCAGCCTGGAATGCATAGTGAGTTCAAGGCCAGCCTGAATTACCAAGTGAGAGCCTGTCTCAAAAAAAAAGAAAAGAAAAGAAAAGAAAGAAAAGAAAAGAAGAAAAGAAAAAGATTGCATTGTCTAATATAATAACCACTTAAAATGTGAATTAGAATATGCACTAATTCTACAGTGTACACTAAATTTCAAAGACTTCATGTAAAAGAAATGTGAAAAGTCTCTGCAATTTTACATTCATTACATGTTGAAATAATTTTGGGTATAATGGGTGAAAATTAATTTCACCTGTCTTTTTACCTTAACATGAATAACAAAAAATTTTCAGCCATGCTGATTTGCATTATTTTTCTGTTTGGAACAACTAGCGTAAACAAATCCTTCAAAGAACTGTTAAAGGTTACACAGGACAGTAGGAAAACTTATGCTATTCAAACAAACAAAAAAAACCAAGGGACAACTGACAAAGAAGTAATCTATTACATTTGCTCTTTACTTAGATTTATAAAGAAAAAGAGGTTCTTTCTGACTGGAGGATATTATTTGCCGAAAATAATTTAAGTTGGATTGGAGATTTTTAACTGAAATGAAGCTAAACAGAACCAATACCATATATAATAGAAAACTAGTGAGTTCAAGTGGCTTATTCAATGATATCTAATGATGAAGCAGGGAGTAGAACACAGTTCTTTCCACCATTTATTCCAGAATTCATTCTACTTTATCTGTGAATAAACTATCACAGGATTGGGCATCAAATGGCCTGAGAATAAAAACTACAACCAATGGTTCTAACCATGGCTGTACAATTGAATCTCCTAGGGAACACATTTTTTTTGCTGTTATTTATTTAAGAATACTCACACTTGGACCTCAATCACTGGAGATTAATTACATATTTTTACAAAGCTTACCAGGAGATTTAAATGAGCAAGCAGGACTCAGAAACACTGAACCAGGTGACTAAAAAACAGCAAAGCCCTATTTTGAAACAATTCTTAAGTTATGATTCATTAAGAAAGTGACAAAGGAAGCAGTCTAGTCTTCAAGCCACTGCTGCTTCAAGTAAAAAACTGAAGTAGCTCAGGGGGCTATGTAGCAGCTAGTCACCAGAATAACTGCGTAGCTACCATCACTTCTCTCTGAATTGCCAAGGCGTAGCAAATAGTAAACACTTTACATATCACTCCATAAAATTTCACATGAATCTAAGGGAGCACAAAGAAGATGGTGTATTTGTGTAGGATACAAATCTGAAGATAATCTATTGAAAGGAACAGTTAATGCTTAATTATTGTTGTTCTTTTAAAAAAAATTTGGACCAATTTTGCATGTTTATATCTGATAATCTGAACAACTAGTTTGAACAATATGCAGTATCTATAACAACCATTGTTGAATTACTACCATTTTGTTTAGTGAAATTCTTTTTTTTTAACTATTTCTTTTATTTTATTTTAAAAATAGAAAAGGAAGTCTAAAGACTGAAACCAAAGTGATGTGTTTGATTAATGAAGACTAAGAACTACAGAAGGAATGTGACCTGCTAAAGCAAAAATCTAGTTAGTGACCGAGTCCAGACTCAATAGCAGGACGTGTGTAATAATATCTCATCCTGTTTTCTGATCTGCAAGTAGCAGCCCAATTAGAGGACTGTAACTTACACGTTTTTTTTTACATAAAATAGATGGAATACATTAGAACATGTACTGTTTGACAAAACTGTTGTATCCATTTAGATATACTAAAGTCAGTGGTGGTAAACCCATGGCACCCATGCCACAGTAAGGTGCTCTAAAAGCTCCACCCTCACTGCACTAAGTTACGATATACCCTGTCAGCCTGTGCAATAGATGAGATCAACAACAAAGTCTTTAGGCTACATGGGCCTATTTTTCCAAGAATTTTCCAATGACATTTTCATAGATCAAATCATCATTATTGTTTCTGAACTATTATATTTTAAAAGGTAACAAAAAGAAAACTCTGGATAATCTGAGCTCTGTCTAATGTTCTAATGGAATATTCCTTTCTGTTTTATTCATTTTAAATGGAAAGATTTCCAGCTTCTTTTGCATGTTTCACATTTCAAAATTCTACTGCAGGGGAAGTGGCGTTTGAGATAGTCTCCATATGCAGTTCAGGCTGGCTTCGAACTCACTGTGTAGCCCAGGCTGGCCTTCAACTTGCAGCAATTCTCCTGCCTCAGCCTCCCAAGTGCTGGGATTACAACATGCACCACCATGCCCATCTGTTAATTCTGTTTTTCCATTGTATGAAATGTTGGTTCATAAAAACTACCTGGCTGGGCCGGGGAGATGGCTCAGTAGAATAAGCACTTCCCTGGCAAGTGCAAGGGCCTGAGTTCAAACCCCAGTCTCCACCTCACCCCCATCCTCACCTCCATCCCCCCCCCACCCCCCCCCCAAAAAAAAAGCACTACCTGGTGTTCTGCTGCCTGGAACTTTCATGTATAGTTGAACTGTGTTCATGCCCAGTATGGTATGACCAACATGGCTTAGAAGATTTCCTGCTGATACGACACGCACAAAAGCAGGAAGTTTAGTCAGCTCATGTAGCTGCAACTTCCACCTGCAATGAAAGAGATTAACAGTGATGCTCTGCAACAAACACTTATGTAAGTTAAGCATTTATTCAACTTCTTGTGTTCCAGTCAGATCTGTAAATATTTTACTTTCACATAGGTAATATTTGAGTGCTTGCATTTTTTAAAATTTCCCAAAGAAGCACAAATTGACATTCTATTTTTATATGTGGATTATTACAGAAATACGTATTTTTAAATAATTTTTATAATAAAAATATAATTTCATGAATGTGTAGTTAGCATAAAGTTGGGGTTTTGATAACAACTATATGAAGTTTTAGGTCAAAGAATATAATTTAATTGTAAACTAGCGGAAATTAGTATAATCTTATCTATCAACTGATAAAAGTGCCAAATAACAATGGGGAAATTTCAGGCAATTCTCAGCCTTAAAAAGAACATTTCTTTGTATCTGTTCACATAAATATTACTATAAGGACTTACTTCTTGTCATCAGACAGGTCAATGTTGGTCCCAAACTTTATGGTTTTAAAGGGTCCTTTCCTTCTTCTTCCAGAACTTAAGAGATGAGACACAATATTAAAAATACACCTTTTTAAACAGAAATACTAAGTGTATACTAAGAATGACTTACTTATCTGAAGATGTAGATTCACTATCTGAATAGTCTTTATGGTGACTTCTTTTTTCATTTTCTTCCTAAAGATCAAGATAAAAAAATTATTTTAGCTTAGCATTTCACAATTGGCTATCCTTTCCATCATATAACTAAAAAAAAATTTCACATGAAGATTGAATGGCATCTTGTACAGCAATTAACCACTAAGAAGAATATATGCAGTGTATTATTTGTTGAAACTGTACTTTCGATTTGATTTGAAACTGTCTCATTGCTATATGTTTATCAATAAAACTTTGAAAAGAAAAAAAAAAAGATTGAATGGCATTGTCTGTTTTGAAAAGAACTTTGTATGGGCCTCTTACACATGAAAATTTCTTCAAATATTACATTAAATAAAGACCCAAGAAAACACAAATCTCCTTGACAAAATATCCAAACTTCCTCTACCAGACACAAAGTTATACAATTAAATTTTCATACTTGTCCCGTGTTTAAGAGAGAATAACTTAAAGCAGAGAAGTCTCTACCTAGAATATAAGTGTTCTATGTAATGCAGCATAGGTTCACGCATATACACACAACAAAGTACTTAGAGGAGGGTGAGATGTTTTCTATTCTTGTTTATGGGAAAGGGAAGACATTTTTCCTGGGTTAAATCATAATTCCACAATGTATTACACAAATGATTAAAACATTTAGGCTGGATAAATATAAGTGCCTTTCAATGCAAATACTTTCATTTACAATTCTTGTGTCATAGACTTGGTAAGTGTTAGCACTATTCTATGTTTTCTAAGTCAGCAATACTAACATTTTGGCTTCTTTCCCTTTAAATGTATGTTTTATAAAAATTTTTAATTGTTCTGGTCCATGCCTTAAAGTATAGCAAAAAAATAATCCTTTATTTGCTATAGATCCTTTCCCATTTAAATATCCTGTGTCTTATCTTTGCTTTTACAACTCTTTCTCCAAATCTTCCTTTGATATTCTTTCAATCACTTATTATATTCTGATTATAATAGTACCATGCAGTAGAAATCTTGAAATTTTAAAATACACAGTTCCATATGCGCAATGCATTCATTGTAACTCATGAAAGTTCCAGGATTTCTTTGTAGGATACACAGTGATAGTAATAAAGGGAACATAACTTACCTATTTACTTACAGGTATTACATTTATTTATTTGTTTGTTTATTTATTGTTCAGGGTCTCACTACACAGCCGAGACTCAAGTAGTGATCTGCCTGATTTCTGCCTCCCCAGTGCTGGAATTAAAGGCACGCACCACCATACCCAGACTCCATCACTGGCTCATCGCGCCTGGGGGCAGGGCCAGGGTGCAAAGCAGAGCCAGGGATCAAACCCTACCCCCTGCGCTTACCTAAGCAAGCACTTAGTTTGCTCAGCTATTGTATCTATTTATAGGTACAAATGCTGCCTTGATTTTTAAAAATGTGAAATCAGGATAGAATTTTTCAGACAAGTAAATTAATGAATTACAAATTATAAAGACTTTCAGCCAGATATTATTAAGTATCAACTGTAGGGTACGTGAAACACAGTGTAGACATGCATTTCAGTACTACACTTAATGGACTCATTTCTATGGGCGTTTTAGTTCACTTGGTAGAATTCACAAAGTTGTCATTATAGTGCAACAGGATTTTAGCATCACTGCTGAAGGGCCTCTGTAGATTTTTCAAAGTTGCTTAGAATTTTTCCATAAATTTTGAAATAATTCTTCTAAATGTCTGCCTCTGCCTTCAGTTTTTATCCTTATAGACTAAGATTGGTAGAAAGGATGCTAATGCTCTGTAAAAGAGTTATCAGATAATACTAATCTGACAGAAGATAAAAATGGAACACAAGATGAGGGATTCTGCCAACATAAGGCAAGCTTAGGATGTGCTTTCTCCTCTAAATTGTTTCTCATCCAGGCCCAATTCCGCCCTCCAAGCAGAAGTTAGCACGCTGGCCAACATTTCTGAGAGGCCAGGGGCACTAACTATCCTGTAACACACAGGACAAACCCCAGAACAAAGAATCACTCAACCCAAAATGGCAAGAGTGTTCAAGTTAAGAAACTCTGCTCTAAATAGAAATGCCCCATAAAAGAAGGATATACTGAGCTAGATAAAGGTTTTATTTCACCACAAGGAAATCTAATTCATTTTGTCAACCCTTAGATTTGCTTGGAATTCATCAAAAGCAAACTGGATAGCACTTATAAAGTATTTTTTATATAACATCAAGTAATGACATGCTTACAAAAGTAATGCATCACTTCAAAACTAAAAAAAACAAAACCACAACTATTAAATCACCAGAACAATCTTCAGAAATTAAATACTTACTCGCAGTGATTCCTGGAATGAAGAGGCCTGATACTGTGCATATTTAGCAATTGTAGTATGAGATCTATTACTTTCACAATGCCAGATTTTCTTCGTTCCAGTAGGATCCCAGTTTTCATCTGCTGGTTGTAACAACTGTGTCCTTACTTCTACCATATGTTCATTGTTAGCTTCCACCAAAGTTTTTGTAGAGAAGAGTCCCAGGTCTTGATAAATAAATAAAAATAATAAATGAAAACTGTTTTAAAGTTCCACTCTCACTTAAGGGGAAAGCCTTTTACAGTGTTTCATTTACTTCGCCCACAACAAACCCAGTCCTCTACATACTCTGAGCTATGGGGTGAGTTTGTAGACTCATACGCTGAAGCCCTGGACCTACCTACTTGTCATGCCATCCCAATAGAGCAAGAAATTACCCCAAATTTCACTTATTTAATTTCTTTCAAGGCTAGGAAATGTTTATGGGACTATGGTGTATATCAATAACATAAATGTGGATTTATATTTTATATTCAAAATTTCTTCAATTAGTTGACCTACATAGTTATATTAGATCAAAATAAAAGCTAAGTTTCACAAAATTATCAGCAACCAGTATCACAATCAACATATATTCAAATCATAAATTTTAAAAAGTAATACACAGGTTTTCTCTTTCAAGAAGGAAAGTTAAAATTTTTAAAAGTATCTGTCAGTGCTTTAAAAGCTAAAACAGTTAAACTCTTTAAAATTTAAAGCTTACCTAACTTTAGAGCTCCAGCAAGGCCACGTATTACTGTAACAGGGTTGTTTGGATTTGTACAAAATTGATGTAATGGAGGAAAGAAAGCATCACGTTTATTTTCCAACTGTAAAATTAAAGTATGTGGTTAGCCCTCAGAAAAAATTATTTTATTTAAATACTATGAGCAAAGTTCACTTTTTACCAAAATTTAAGTAATATAATTTGTGTTTAACTGTCTATTTTATATTTTACAATATTTTATCATTTATGCTTTGATTCCAATTGTGATTAGACAGTAACCATATTCACTTCCCTTGTCCATTTTAAGATATGTGGAAGAAACAAACTTTAAATTTCAAAACCAAAATGTTTTAAATATTGTTTAACTTGAAAAAGGGATTCATGCTACAACATGGATGAACCCTGTGGACATTATGCTCAGTTAAGGGGGGGCTGGCGCGTCGTGTGGGACTGGGAATCGAACTCTCCTCCCTGAGCTTGCCAAAGTGGGCACTTAGTTGGCTGAGCTATGTCCTGTTGGGTCTATGCTCAATTAAGGCAATCACAAAAAAGTCAAATACTGGAAGAAAAGCAAAAAGCAAATGAACAACAACAACAAAAAAATCAAATCAAAACAAAAAGAAACCTGTATGACTCCACTTGTATGAGATATACAAAGTAGTCAAATTCATAAAGCAGAAAATACAATGATGATTTCCAGGAACTGAGGAGAGTGAAAAAGGAAATTTATTTAATAGGCAGAATTTGGCAAAATACAAAATTGTGGAGATGAATTGAGTATTTTTAACCTAATGAACTGTACATTCAGAAATGGTTAGCACAGTATATTTTATGTGACATACTTTTTAAAAAATCATAACAAAAAGGAGAAAACACTTTTAAAAGAAATCAAAAATTTTTTTTCAAATTTTATCAAAGTGAAAGCAGGTTGAACATCTCTAAGATAGATTTTTAAGTTTGTGTATTTTCTACCCAGGCCCCAGTTAAAAAGTTTTATTACATGTCCATTCCACTGTTTCCCTTATACAGTAAGGGATCAGTAACTTGGTTACAGGAAAGACTGCGATCATTTGGGCTCTCTAGGCTGAAAGGACCAAATCTACAAAACAAGTATCATTCTATAAATGTTAGAACAGTTAACTAAGTACATTATCCTAACTTTATAATACATACACTAATTTTTAAAAAACACTTGGGGTAGAAGTGAAAAGGTAGAAGGAAATGAGGTAGAAGGACTAATCTGAGAAAAACAAAACTAGGAATTACTTTGATTGAATGTCTATCAATTTCCTTTATCAGATGTCTAAACTTCTATAAAGTAAATATCCAATTTTAAAAATTTTAACTTACTAAGCCTTGTGATATATATCTACATTTTATGTTCTCAAAACACTTCTGAAGGTAGATGATGAATCTTTCTTTTGATAGATACACAAAACAAGTGAATATTGAGGCCCATCCAATTAGTAGAATAAACCCAGTTTACTCAAAAAGGTAACCTTTTAGGTAACTATTGCCTAATATTGCTCAGAAGTAGGGCACTAAAAAGTATTTCTCATTATTCTAACATAATCATATATACTATCTATGAAGTCATTTATAAAATCTTTTGGAAAATAATTTTCCCCAAAAATATTTATAGTGCTGCCAATAATCCTTAACACAACTTAAAGGGTATCCACATAAATGTAAAGGCTTTAGGAAAGACAGGTAGGTGCAAATACTGGTTTGACTAATGTTTAGTCAAGTCAATTCAGACTCACATAAATACTAGGTGTAGGTGGGTTCAACTTGTCCTTTGGCAAGGGAGGATATGGTGAAGATGGTGGTCTTGGAGGTGGACATTTATCCAACAAAATGCTACTATTAGACAAGCCATTTTTACCTAGATTCCTTTAAAAAAGAAGAAAGAAAAAAAAATCAGCTGTCCATTTACTTAAAAAAAAAATCCTGAATTAAGTCATAATTAAATGACTTTGTCATTTGTACAAATCCACATTTCAATCCATCAGACAAAATGAAGTACAATTATTAATCTTAGCAAACACTTATCTTGATTCCTATTACCTTCCACAGGGAGGGAGGTGGCAGGGGAGCACAACACAGATTATTTATAAGAGTACTTATTTGCTTGTAAGTTCCTAATTTATTTTCTTCATGTGAAGGAGAACTATGACTTTCAATTTCCTTTCTACCATCTGATTCTTTTCCATCAAATGGTACAATATTAACTTCACAAAACAAGGTCTAGATAATAAGAATAGACAATGTTTCTTCCAATGTCTCATCCTAGCAATTATAACTGGAATATTGTATTGATAACAAAGAGTTCAAAGCTGTGATGTTTCCCTCTCTCTTTTCTCAAATCTGAAAAAACTTTGTCTATTACTCCTCAGCTAATAAAATTAATCAAGACTCCACTCTACTAAAATTTACAACAAACTATACCAATGTAACAAGCAACATATAGTTGCTATCTATTCAGACATAGCATGTTATTATTTTCTAGTTTTCATTTTTTCCTTTAATGTTTATTAAAATTAACAATTCTTAAAATGTGATAGAATTATCTCCACACAAGAATTATTTTTATTCAAGGAAAAAAAATATTTCCAATTCCTAAAAAGCTTCTACCCAACTTAGAAAATCAGGAAGAAGTTGGCCTCCAGCTTTCAAGTCAATATAACTAACTTACCTCAAGCAATTATCAAAAATTCCTTCAAAACCAGTAAAATATCAAGTACTTTTAACATATTAAAAATTCAGATAAGAAATTGAAAAGTATAATTATATGCAAACTCAAAAACTCAGTCATTTCACTTAATAAGGAACTAACCATTTTTCATTACACACTATAGAACAACACAGGTTATTAATTTATAAATTCCACAAATTTTTTACTTTTTTGTGAAAGGGATTGAACTCGCTTTCAACAAAATAAAAATTCTTGGCAGAGACTGATAAACAATTCAAATATTATCATTACACAAATGCCAAGATAAAATATTCACTTATAATATTTGTGTAAGTAATAGTTTTCATGCTGAATTATCTGCCACTCTAACTTTGGAACTTAAACAAAATATGCTTTAGAATACATAAAATTTGTTTTCCAAATAAGGATATAGATTTACTCCTGTATAGTAAATGATTAATTCTTTAAGAAATTGAAAGACATGGACCATGTATTAGACCTTACTACCAAAAAAAGCATCTCATGCTAATTAAATGTGGCACCAAAAATCAAGCTTGTACAACATTCTGGACATTGAGAGAGATTAGAAAATAGAGTTTGACACATTAATAAAACTGTCTCTATCATTTCTACAGTTCTGAGACAATTTTTTTTAAAATGGCAAACAGAAAAGTACAACAATGGAAAATGTAACTGCCTATATTTAAAATAGAAAAGAAAGGAGAGGCATGATTAAAGGAGAAGATAATGCTTCAACCATCTAAATGCTGCAACTACAACTTTAACCATAAAATAAACATATTTTGTGTAGCACTAACTATTGAAACATTTAAAATAAACCAAGAATTAGTTTAAAAAATAACTATCACTTTAAAAAGGTTAAAACGCACAAGAGGGTACTCAGAATAAATAGTACAAATCTAGTAGTTTCCTACAGTTCCAAACATTGACTGTCTCTATCTATTAAGAAGTCTGAAACAGAAATTTCCTGAAGGAAATGGTGTATATGTTTGTCTATATAATGACTATAAATGTTGTCCATATGAATACACTTATCAATTCTAATGTAAAGGACAGAGCTGTGGAGACATTGAGCAGGAACAGATTTTATCTTCTGGCCACCAATTAGAACACTTCAAGTCAAATAAAGAAACTTTACTATAAAAATCCAAAGTGAAGAGCAAAAGAGTTGAAGAAAGAAGCAGGTGCTGGAAAGGATTAAGATTATCCCATTTTAAATCCCTTTCTCCTATTTTAAAACTCCTTCCCTGAGCCAAGCATAGTGGTAAGAGATTAGTGTTTGCCTAATTATTTAAAAGATTTACATAAATTTATTTTCAAATTTTCTCTCCCACATCACTCAGTAGAAAATGACGGCAAAAGTGCTTTGTGGGCAAAGTCATCTAGACAAGGAATACCAAATCTCACACACCTATGTCACATTCAAGTTTCAGTTCTAGACTCTAGCCCAGCACAGGGCCTCATCAACAGAACACAGATATGGCAAACCAACATAACACCTCTGACTTGCCACCTTAATCGTTTTCTCTAACCCTCAGAATTTTTATTTCTAACTTATCAGAGTAGTTTTTTGCTTCTTCATTAATAAATCTAGGGGCCGGGAGATGGCTCAGTAGAATAAGTGCTTGCTTGGCAAGTGCAAGGGCCTGAGTTCAATCCCCGGTTCCATCATAAATAAATAAATAAATAAATAAATGCAGGCATAGATTCAATGGAATAACCCAAGCAACCTTAGGGATCTATCAAGTTTTGATGGATTTATTTAGTAAGATTAAGTCTCTGCCATAAGGCAAAAGTACCTTAATGAGTTAAAAGCTAAAAATGAAACTATTAGAATGTACTTACTCTGAAATGATTGTTCATATAGACCTTAAAAATGAGCTAAAGATTATAACCTTTACTACAGTCAGAAACACAACTGACTATACACCCAAACATGAAACTTTACTAATGAAACTATGTGCTATTTCATACAGTTTATAACTTGGGGAACAAAAAACAGCTCCAAGACAAAAAAATGACAATATTCCTCCAGAAAATCTTTAGGCCCCATATAGTCCATGATGTTAGCTTAGACTGTTCAATTTCTCTCCATTTTCTAGCCACTGTCCTGAGTCTATAGAGAGTAGATTAGGAAAACACCTTTGCCTCAGCAGGGCAGAAGCAGCAGAACGCAGGAACGAGGACAGAGGCCATAGCAGGCAAGTGTGAAGCAGGTGGAAGGCAATCAATTCGAGGTGCCAGTGCACAGCTCTCTCTGGAGAGCCAGGCAGAGCTCCTGATCTGGACACTCCTACTTTCCGCAAACACACTCATGACAGGGCCAGAATTCCTATGTCTTCCTGCTAGGCCAGGTGTACATATGCGACAATCCCATCAAGTAGCTTTTTATTATTTTTATTAGTAAAAAGATTGATATGAGTAATTAGATCCATTTGTACTACCAGTGGTACAAGCTGCCTAATGAGGCAGCCATGAAAGCACAACCAGTAGACCAAGCTAGGAAGAACGTGTTACAGAGGTCAAATGTTGAAGTGAATACTAATGAAACTTCTGAACAAAAATACTAACACAAAATACTCTGAAATAAAACTTTATAAACACCAAAATTTTAGAAATTCTGGAAGTTTACTATATATTCTACAACAGTTTAACTTAAGAGATCATCCAATGTGGTATTAAATACTAACACTAATATGGAAAATTCTTGAAAGATAATTAAGACTAGTAACAGGAGTCATCATGTTGTAGGCCACTAAGAAAAGTGCTGTCAGGAATGTGGACTCAATAAAAAAAAATTTTTTTTAAAGATGGAATTTCTGCTTTACTCTTTATCAGAATAATTAAAGATAACAGCTAAATAGTTAAAAATCGACAGAAAGTTAAAATAACACACACGAGAAGATATTTTAAGTGATCAAACTCAAAAGTCATAAGAGAAAAATAATTATATTTACAAAAATTCCCAGTAGAAGCATGAATAATATTAATTGTACTTTGTTTTACACAGTATTCTTTCCCTTATCCCACTGCTCATAC